TCAAAAATACCCTATAAGACAAGCACTGTGAAGTAAGAAAATTTTTATGACAAAAAAATCCTCCGAAAGTTTCGGCAGAGATATATCAAACAACTGAAACACCTCCTTAGCCATGGCAGGGTTGATCACGTCACGACTTTTGACGCTGGTAGGTGGTCCTTTGTCCCCCGGATACTGACACAGCTTTGAAGGCCTCTTGTACTTGCCCATACCATAGCGATGGCGAGCACAAACACGTAATGTTTTCACTTATTCATGAGACAAACGGTCGAGGCCAGCCCTTTGCAGGATGACCTCATATTCTTTCAGGTTTTACACGCGATGAAAAACAATTTTTTAGATGTGTAGTTACATCATCTCGACATTCATACAGAAACACTGTCTCCGTGCTACAACGTGAGGATCTGCATTCCAGGAGACCCTCTTTTGACTAAGAACAGGCATCTTCCATAATTACCTGGTTGTTTCTATTTTTACGTCCGCTGACCCCTGTAAGCACTTATCCGTAATGTCCGTTGGAATGTTACGAAATGCATGCAGCCCACCAAAGTACTAAATGGACACTATCTGAGGCTAATTTTCACCTGAATTCATCATCATTCATGGAAATAATCTAAAACTGTTTCACTTCAGGTTTTCTGGCGGCGGAAGAGTTGTTTTTTTACTAATATTTTACGCATTTGCTTGGATTCCGCCGTAGTTTGGAGAAATGAGTGGTGTCTCGCGATAACATTTCCAAGATTCAACTCACCTCAGCGGATGGTAAATGTATATTACTTTCTTTTTCTACCTATTTTTCATCTTCCTTTCTCTTTTAAAACCATATAATTCTATTTAGGGATTCTTCCTTCTAACAAAATTTAATAGGTATGTCATATGCTTATGAAAATACGCCGCTTAATTAAACTAAACTAAAATAATAGAGCTTATTTACGTTCGCGGGCATAAATACGCTATGAGAAAAATCCAAAGCATACATTTATACCCAAGAACATGAACTTTATTATCACTGTTATTATTACTTTTGGGGGCATTGAGAAAATAAAAACTGAAATAATGGCAACAAAATAGTCTGAATAATCACACGAGCGTACGAGCAGGCTGCAATATATTTTATCCCGCCAAATTCTCCATATTAGCCAGACAGCAAAATTAAATGCGGCACAGTGCCCGACGAAGATAATAATCATCATCTTCGGGGAAGCATTTTAGATACCGCGAATAGAAATGAATCATCCCTCACAAAACCCACATCTCACCAAATCTAGTACGACAGTGACCTTTTTTCTAATTTTTTTTTTATATTCAACTGAAATAATCCTGTCTTTCTTCCAAAAACTGTGCATGTCATAGACATAACGAAACAGGAGATAGCCAAACTCACTATAAAATCATAACTACGAAACAGCTCGAAGACTTATATTTTTGGTTTTCGACTTTTTTCTTTCTCGTCCAGATTTTGTAGTGTTTGTCAGAAAATGGTTAACAGATAAGATAACTTGTTGCGTAAGGTCGATAACTTTCAAAGCAATTTGGTAGAAAGATATCAACCATCGCCAAAACTTCACGGAGTGACTTTTGCCGACTGCTCAGATCGGCCAATAAAATCGCTGATATCTAGCAAGTTGGATAAATAAATGATTGTAAATGTATGAAAATCATATATGTATAAATTTAATCTCACCCAGTCTGACTGTAGAATCCAAAATCTAATTAACTTACCGGTGAATACGAAAAAGCTCATTGTTTTTTCCTGCTTGTCATTCTAAATGATGATTTAGAATTTGATAAAGTGTAATTCTTTTGACAATGTGTACTTTTTCATCTATTTTTCAGTATCTATCTTTTACCAGCTAAAAGAAGAGAAGACCCAAGTCCACACCTGTAATCTGACACCTTGTAGGCAAACCCTACAACAAATCAAATTTTACTTGATCAAACACATGAAGGGCAATAGAGGAAATTAGCGAGCACAATTCAAGCTTCCCTTCTTCAGTATTCTGTGATCATTTTTCCTCTCATATGGTAAAGTTACAGTTGCCCTTATTTCTCTGTCTTCTGATCATTTGTTTGTTTGCTCTCCTAAGACACTTCTACAATGATACGTACACACAACTGACATGTATGAGTAAAGCACGTCATGCATTAAGTTATGATAGCATTTCCCATGTAAATTTAAACACTGAAGATGTATTACGCTACCAGAAGCAGGTTTTTTCATTGTAAGTGTATCATAACATGCAGATTCTCATCACATTTTATGTGAAATTTGAAAGCATAAGAATTTTAATCACTAAGGTAGAATGAAATCCCCCATTTTAACTTCAAGTCCCACTAGTGACCAAGACAGAATTTCTCCTTATACTATCAGCACGATATCAAGCACACAAGTAATGAAAATAAAGAAAAATATCAATTAGGAGATTATTGGTTGATCCAAATCCAAATTCTCCAAACTAACGTCACGTGAATTATATGGCAGACAGTAAAGAGAGTTACTAATGAAATCTTGGGAATTAAAGGTTTGAGACACATGGTAATCATATATACGAGAAATACAGCGAATAAATATAACATATTCTCTTGTAAAGTGTTCTTATTTAGAATGAAGTTTCAAACTCATTGACATTAAGTAGACTTCATGATTCTTAATTTAGTTAAAGAAATGTGTAATACCTCTGTTCATGGATGAAAGAGAAATGCCATTTATGAATTTTAAAATAGTAAATGCCAAAAACTAGGATATGGAATTTAAAAAAAACTACTGAAATATGGCATACTATTCACTGAGATTTTAATCATGGAATGAATGGATCCTTCACGCAGGTTTGCAGGATTTGATGCCACGACTATTGCAAACAATCACTTGAACGATTTGGGTTGAAACAACGATGGCAAGAGCTGGAACTTCCCGTCGTACCTCTATCAGAGAGAAATTCAGCCAGTCGAACCGGTCAGCCTCGAACGCTCTGACTTCGAAGAGCGGCAAGAAAGAAGCGGGAAACAAGAAGAGGAAGATGGAATATTGGAGTACGATTCCCCTAGTGGTAATGATGACATTCCATCCTTGGAAAGAGAGGCTGACAATACAATGTAATTCTTTATTTACCCACGCTACATCTAGGAGTGATAAAAACTCGTTAAAACATGTGCGTGAAACGAAAAACGTTAAAAAGAAAAGCAATAATTAATCTATCTAAAAACTTGCTTCTTTGAAAGACATGTGCGAGAAAACTGAGCTACGATCTAATGTAACACCAAGGATTTTAAGTGTATCATTAGCGTTCACTTCATTGTTATCTACACTGAAGTTATAGCGATATGGTACTTGAAGCGGTTCCCGCTTCAGAAGAAGTATACGCTTCAACAGCAGAATTGTGTTAGGTTAATTTTCTTAATCTCCGTTGCTATGGAACTGTTGTTATTCGTCTCTTTGAAACTGACTTGCCTGAACATACACGTTTGCCCATGATCGAAGTTTAATAAAAGGAAGTCGTTACCGTGACTAGCGTATGTTATTCGTGCAAGACTTTGAAAACTTCTAACATGAACGATATCATCATTTTGGTGAAAAAGATAAATTCACGCCTTACGGTGACTATAGACTTTAACGGATCAATGCTGGTTAAAAAAGTCATTATCCACGGGAAAGGCCTCTCTAAGTTTAGGAAATGGGCTAAGACAAAATTGTATGATCGGGATCGGGAATGGCTGGTATAAACCGTCGGGATTACGGGATTGAGAGAAAATTTTAGTCGGGATCGAGGGATTAAAGAACCCTATTGAGGACTCTCATTTTTAGGTTGACGGTAAAATCATAAGCGATGGAAATCCGAAGGCGGAACTCCTGAGCAATCACTCTTCGAACGCATATATTCTCATGAAGACCTCATTGATATCCCGGTTGTTGGTACCCTTACTGTTACCGTTCCTGGCGTCATTTAGCAGCTAGAATTGTTAAAGCCATTCAAAGCATCTGGTCCAGACGGGATACCTCCATGGTTCCTGAAGGAATATGCAAAGGAAATTGACCTTATGCTAGCGGCTATCTACCAAACCTTTATCTATTGTCCTAGCTAAATGGAAATATGCAAATGTATGCGGCGTCCACAAGAGTGGAGATAAATCATACCCTGCAAAATATAGACCGATCTCGTTAACATACTTAGCGTCCAAAATTCTTAAACATATAGTCCATAGTCATGTAATGAAACATTTGGAGTACTACGCGATTGTTACCGATGCACAGCATGGCTTCAGAGCAAAACGATTTACGGTAACACAATTAATTTTGACGATTCACTACATGGCCAAGTCTAATCAAGATGATAAGTCAGTCCATGCTGCTGTGCTATATTTCAGCAACGCTTTTGACAAGGTCCCCCATGATACGTCTCTTAAGAAAGTTACGGCATTATGGTATTTGTTGCCCTCTGCTTGACAGGTTTGCGTCTTTCCTCACGAACCGCACTCAGTCAGTCATCTGTGATGGCAAATTTTCTAACCTTATTTAGTTCCACATCAATACCTGAAGATTTGGTATCTGGCAATCCTCTATTCTCAGATAACTTGTAAAGCTTGGATTGAATGTTATGAATCCCCCCTTAAGTTTTATATTTGTCAATTGAAACATTTACCCAAGCTACTGTAAATTACTCGCATTCTAGAACGTCACGCTCACTTAAATGCCAATTTAACTTAGTGGTGAGAAACCGCCTCCGAAATTTTGTTCTCTCTTACAGTCTTTTTTTCTCGAAATAACTAAATGTTGTGGATATCCGTTCTGAAAATCCTTAACTAGAACGCCTGGTGACATACCGTTACCAACGTGTTGCGCTCATCTTTCGGACAACACCTCAAATGACGACTGTCAAACCTCTATCAATGTCTAAAGTTTCAAATCTTACAGGTGGACGGTTTGGGGTGGGATGATTGCAATAAAACGTAATGAAGCAGATTTAACCATGTCATAGATTTTCTTTGAATTTCATCGAGAAGTCTTCAGTTGCAAATCAGAAACAAAGACGTTACACAGCCTTAATTGCACCATGAAATTAAAAATAATCTGTTTCGTGGTGACTATGACTTGCGCTGTTCTCGGAAAAGAAGGTACGATTTTCCTTTTATTTTCACTAGAAAAAAGGTTACAGCAAAAGCAAACTGAATTGGATTATATTGGATAAGTGAGCTGAAACTTTATTTCAAACCTTCATTATATACAAAATCGTTGTTTCTAATCTGCTTCGTATCACTAACAGTTATCGGATGCAGTTACTTGTCAAGGTCGAAGGGAAGTGTAGATAATAGATGAGATGATTTACAAGCTGTCGACATTTTGGCCCAAAGTGCTAAAATATACTATATTGATCCTTCGATTTAGGCATCTTTTTCTGCCAAAACCGAACAATATAAGAAGGTATTCGCTTAGGGTAACTGCGAAATTGTTTTTTACCTTCATTTTGCTTTATCTAAGCGTGAGAAGTATTGTTCTTACCTTTCCCCTCAAATTATTCTGATTCCAAGAAGGATATCACGGAAAACTAGCCTTACACCTATAAGTGGATAATGTTTAGAAATGCTCTCCTGTTCTCAAACTGCAAACTAACACCTCATTCACACCAGCAAACATATTTAATTATCTAAGGTTTAACCGAATGAAAATCAGTGAAAGAAAACTAAAACTGAATCTTCCATAGTATTCAAATAATCACTAGCGTTTCTTTCAGTGCTAAATTTGAAGTCGACAAATATCGTTTCAAACAGCCTTTATGTTGACGGTAAATTTAAACAGTGTTTAGGTATGTTGATCAAGGAAAAAAAAACATCGAACACCAAATCGATCAAGAATAGTTTCTTCTTATATTTTAGTGTTGAATTTTCTTTCGTTATCTCCACCTTAGATAACTTGAACCTTAAGCGGAGGGCACAAATTACTCTATATTTCATTCTCTCTTCACGATAAAAATACCGTGGGACCTTCTCTTAGAATTATATCACTGCGGAAGAGCTTACCTGTCTACATGAGCAAAGAACAAAGGGTGGAAAACTTGCCTGTAGGTATGCTGATCTAGAAAAAAAACCACCATCGAACACCAAGTCACTCAAGAACAGTTTCTTCTTATATTTTCGGGTTGAATTGTCTTTCTTTATCTCGACTTAAGATAAATTGAGCCTCAAGCGGAGGGCATAAATTACTCTATAGTTCACTCTCTCTTGAATATATAGACACCGTGGGACTTTCTCTTAGAACTATATCACTGCGGAAGAGGTTACCTGTCTAAATGACACCCTCTATGGGGTTACCCGCGATTTTAACCCCATTTAGGAACACAGGAGTGTTTGAATCCTGGTGCCAAATTCACTTTATTATTTATTACTTTTGTTCTTATAATAGAACAATGGAATAAACGCCTTCATGCTTTACTCTTGGAAAATCCGACAGCGCGTTATATTGGACACAAGCCACAGCCATAAGATAAAACCCTTTGAACTGATTATTTGAGTTTAAAAGTAGTGAGTGAAGAAAAAAGGGTCACCATCGTACTAAATTTGGTTATATGTAGGTTTTGTGAGGGATGATTCATTTTGATTCGCGGTATCTGAAATGCTGCCCCGAATAATGATGATTATTATCTTCGTCCGGCGTTGTGGCGCATTTTGCTGTTTTGCTAAAATGGAAACTTCGGCGGTTTAAAATATATTGTAGCCCGCTCGCACACTCGCGTGATTATTAAGACTATTTCGTTGCCATTATTTCAGTTTTCATTTCCTCGATGCCTCCCAAAAGTGATAGTAATAATGATAATAGAGTGTATGTTCCTGGGCATAAATGCATGCTTTGGACCCCTGTCATAACGTATTTATGTCGGCCAACATAAATATGCTCTATTGTTTTGATTTGGTTTGATTTGGTGGCGTATTTTCATAAGCATATGACGTACCTATTTAATGTTATTAGAAAGAAGAATCTCTTCTTTCTCGGGCGGTATGTATGATTCCATAAAGACAAAATTAGTCATAGAAAAGCCCAAACAATTCTTTTAACACGCTATTGGCATTTACAAAGTCGGTCTGCATTTGCTTTCTTCCAAATCAACGATTTACAAAAGTTGAAAACTCGTTCATTTGTTTAAGAGCGGTGCCTGTGTAATCGAGCAAAACGCTGTCTGAACGCCAACTTCTCATAACTGGTCGGGAGAAATTTCTTGCGGACTAAATTTTGCGTAGAAAATCTGTTTTCGAAGATGTTTAGCCTTCTGTAATGGTATCATTTAGTAGGCTTAAGTAACCGGGTAAGTACACGCAAATTTTGAACTCCTGTACACAAGCACATTGTAGCCAATTATAGTAAATTAAATTGTCGTTCCAGTCCTTTCTTTTGATCAGCGAAAAATATCACCGGTCGCTTTTAAAAACTGTTCCCCTTGGTTTATTTCGCATATTGCTCGCGTGGTGCATGGCAGCGTTTCAAAACGTTTCTCGCACGATCTTAAATTGGCTAGTAAATAACTTGGATGATGATAATCGAAGCCCAAAATATGTACACAAATCTCTATCAAAAAAGAGTCAGTTGGCTCCGAACATTATGTACAGATTCATTTTTAAAATATATTTTTAAAAGTGCTCATAAAGATGACTTTCTAATTCACTTACAAAATTGGTGCTCCTCAACTCGTTTTAAAATTCTTTTGATATAATTTCTTGGAATATTCAGGAATAACCATGATCCATCAAATAAATGGTGTGTTGAAATAACGAGAGCATTTCGAGCCACCTTGAACAAGAAGTCAGAAAGGCTGATGGTCGTATTTTAAGATGTCATCATTTTTCTTAGTACTCTATTTATCACTTTTTTTTATTATAAATCTACCGATCACGGTTCCTTAACGAATGGTACAATCTTATTAGCAGCGATACTCGCAATCTATTCCATGACCAAAAGTGAGCAAGAGATTTTATAGCCTCTGGTAGTGAGCAGAGTGAGTGGACTGACATTATCTGCTTTTGACGGGGTTTAAAATTTTTTTTTTCATTATTTCTCTTCACCTTCATTCATATTATAACAGGTTTTTTAGGAATTACAAGTATTACGTATTTATTGATTTTGTTATCACTCGCATGGATACAAACCGAAATGGACTCCACTCAGTCCCATAAACATTACTTATTATCATAAAGGTAATCATGAAGAAATAAACAAGAATACATTTTTAAAATAGCACAAAATTTTAAATCAACAATCATGCGACAGAAATCTCGAAACCAAATGCTATTGTAAGTTATATTTATTTTAATATCAAGATATTTGCCTTCTTTGAACATTTCAGATGAAGTTACATTACTGTTCGTGGGAGATATTTCCTTTGCTGACCCCATCAAATACTATGTTGACCACAAGTACCATACGTACAATGATACTTTCAATGACGTGGCTCCTTTCATCAGAGAAGCGGACATTTCAGTTGGTAATTTTGAGTCGCCATTTGCCAACCAACATGTTCTTACTCACCTTTACCGAGGAAGAAAAACAGTTTTGCTATATGCCATTCCTAAAGCTGCATCAGCGCTCAGGTGAAAATAATAGCGGAAACTGACAAAGTTAGAATTTACTTAAGGAAGAAATCGTTTTTAAATGAGGCCTCCACTGGTAGTCTACCAGTTCTAAGAAAAAATTTCCGTTAAACTGCATGAAAATTTCTTGTGTTACGAAGATTCTTAGAAATAGTTGTGAAATAAGAACATATGAGAAAAAAGAAAACCAGAAAGAAATACAAACAGAAATGATTTCCCGTAACACGGCTGCCACTACTATCATAAAAAGTAAATACCTCTTTTTTGTCCTAGAAGGGCACATCATCCAATATGGCGGTGCGCATAAAACTTCAGTTTTAATACAACCCATACCTTTTATATGTCGACAGATTTCATCTTTAAAGATCGTTTTTGATAATTTAAGGACGATTTTCCTCTACTAGTGGAGGTTTCCTTTAGAGGGTGCAGAATTTTGTCATTCCGTTCTACTATGAAAGTGTGGGGTAATGCATTTGAGCTCCTTTTTTCGTTTGAGCTGCATTAAAACAACATTCAGCTCATTTGTGTCATAAGTAAACTGTTTGACGATGTAAAGAGTTTGTAAAGCTGACGTTTCGAGCGTAAGCTCTTAGTTATTCCCTCTGAAAAGGGCTAACGCTCGAAACGTCAGCTTTACAAACTCTTTACGGTGGCCAATTAACATTATCAACTCAACCGATCAAACCAAATCATCCTGTTATACCCTGCCACAGGCTAAGCAGCGCAGTTTCTTTAGAAACTCGCCCCCTTATCCCAACCTGAATCTTAAAAAAAAGATAATAAAAAATTTCACCAATGCGGTAAAAGAATTTCATAACAAGAAAGAATATGAAAGTAACTTGCGAAATATATTTTTAGCACCGTTTTCAGCCATCTCAGAAGTGAGGAGCTGGTCTAAATTATTCGTTTGCAATGAGAAGTTTTCAAGCCTAGTGGCAGGGTATATATTGCACATACCCGATAGTTATACTCTTGCATCCTCCACAGGTTTGCAGGATTTGATGCCGTGACTATTGCCAACAATCACTTGAACGATTTAGGTGGTGTAGGAGCCAATTTTACCACTAAAGTCCTGGAAAAGACGGGTATAAAGTATTTTGGAATAAGTTTCGGAAAATATGACTCCTCTCAGGTACAGTAACGAATTGTTTTAAACCCCATTTTCCTGGAAACGAGATGAAAGAATATTTAGCGAAAGCATGGAGATTTACTCTCAAACCAATACAACTATTTTATATGAAAATAAATGTGTTTAACATTTTAGACATCTTAGTTAAGCTTTCAACGTTGTATTAATATCGTGTGACCTGGATATTTTTTATAACCGAATGGATTTGTGAACAGCGAGGTAGCTGCAAATCTTTTCAACGAGACGTATACTATGAAACCATCACAGTTGATAATTATTCATCTGATAGGGTTTAGGAAGGTGTCACAACTATCGGTCGGCTTAACGGGCGATTCACAATTTATCACTTTAGACAAGTGTATCGTAGCTTATTTGCGACATTTGGGTACTCTTAGGGCCAGTCTACATTGAGGCTAGGGATCCCTGAGGTTGGTAAGGTAAACTGCTTAGCCGTGCTTAAAAAATAGACCATGTTTACCATGTTTACCATGTTTACATACAATCTTACAACTCCGGGATCCCGAGGTAAAGTTCCGAGAGGTTGTTAGTGCGCTTGCAAATGTAGCGTGAACGCAACCTTGGCTAGGCGGGTTACCCCATCTTGAGACGTTTATGGGAAAAATTGTGAATGCCTATGACAGAGTTACCTCCCACGGCACACTGGGTAACCCGGCTAAGCAGGTTTCTTCAGTTATTATGTAAACATGATCAAGATAAAATAAGAGGTTAAATATATGAACAGAAGGGTTTTCTGACCTACCTGGGGTCCTCCACCTCAATATAAACAAGCCCATATTAAATTCCACACAGCAGTATCTCCCGCTGTTAACATTACATTTACTCCTGTTAGATCTTAACAGATACATGTTAAACCAGTTTTAAGCTGATATCAATATTTTTGATGTCATGTTTTAGGAACCTCTCATTATTAAAAGAGACAGAATCACTATCGCATTCCTCGGTTATTGTGCAACGCCCTCCTTAAAGAAAAACTGCAGCGAACTGAGGAAGTTGTTCAGCTCGGGTCCCGCCATTTATGAAGATGATATCGCTACTAGAGACATCAGGAGGCTAAAGAAGGTTTAACTCAAGTTTAATATCTTTATGATCATCAGGGCAGTTTTTAATTGAGTGTCGAAACTGATCCAGGATTACTCTGGTTTCGCTTTACTTCGCTTTGTGATTGGTCCAGAAAATTAGCGCTTCCTTTTAACGAATCATGACTAAGATTACCAGCGTTTACCTGCGTTTCATGCAGGTTACCTGTTTATACTTTGTGCTCTCATTGAGTAATGATGATTTTGACCATCGCTCTTATTGACTTTTGTGATACCTTTGCTTTTAGTTATCCGAAACTCAACTGAAATATTACACGAACTGAAAGGAAAAAAAAATTTATCCATCTTTTCGAAGGGAAAAGGCTTAGGATTGTGAATGACATAATTTTCTTCTTAAGCCAGCTTAACATAGCATTTAGGTAAAGAATGAATTGTTATTCAAACTGAGAAAAAATCCAAACAAGAAGAAAATGCCATCTTCTGCGTGCTAGAACCTGCGCCCATAGTTACTAGTTGGACGTTGTTATAACCTGGCCGAACTAAGGTAGCCACGTATTGAGATCTTTGGTGGGCTTGCAAATTTAACCTGTGCGGCTAAAAACATACTAATAATGATAATATCAACATTCCACGAGTTAGCTTTTTTGTCCACTGTTTCCATGTCGAATTGGAATTCAGAATGTTGATATTGTAGAGTAGGGAAGACCGGAGGACCTGGAGAAAAACCCTCGGATCAGGGTGAGAACCAACGACAAACTCAAGTCAGATGTGACTTCCTTATTAATACTGCGTCATCCCTGAAAACAGTTTATTTATCATCTACTTCGAGTTTTAACTTGATTTCTATGCATTTCATATCATCCTCTTTTATTTGAATACAATAAGGATCTATCCTTCTAGTCATTCTATAACATGTCTATTGACTAGTTATACTTTGTTTTACTTCCCTAGGCCAAAGTTGACATTATAGTCGCTTTCATGCACTATGGTAGAGAACTCACTTTAGGACCCGTCTCCTCCCAAAAGCACATAAACAAACACTTGATTTCTCTTGGGGTGGATATAATCATTGGAGCTCATCCGCACGTTCTTCAGGATCACTGTCTTCAAGATAATAAACTTATCGCTTACAGCTTGGGGAATTTTCTTTTTCATACTAACCAACCACCTAGTGCTGTTGATCCGGTAACGCATTCATAAGGCCTATTTACACGGTACGACTTTGTCGCATGCGACAAGCTTACGACAGGCCTACGACACGAATTGTATCGTGTAAATCAAACCTACCACTCGCTTACGACTGTCGTGCACGTCACGAAAAATGTCGTAGGATTTTAAAACATGTTTTAAAACGCTGCGACAATCGTAGCCGAAATTGATAGAAAATGACGTATTTTGTGACAAATTTCTACTGAGTAGGGGAGGAAGGTGAAATTTTCTTGCGTCAAAATGGCGGAGGAAGTCGCCTCCGGAAAGTCGAAGACTGCTTCCAAAGCGAAAAATACATTCTCAGATGAGGAAACAGAGAATATAATATCACTGTGGAGCGAGGAAGAGGTTCTTTTCCTTCTCTTGCAAATTATTGAAACAATGACCGCGGCCGAAACGAGTGGAATTGCACGCGATTTTGGCATGTCGTAGGTGAAAATGTCGTGCGCGTGTAAATTGTCCTAAGTCATGTCGTAGGCCTGTCGTAAGCTTGTCGCATGCGACAAAGTCGTACCGTGTAAATAGGCCTATATGGTTCATTTAGTGACTACATGTACCTCTTGACTGAATGGAAAGGCCGTGTAGGAAAATGTTTGGGTGGTTGACATGACGTAAACACCTCGCTGTGCTCGATCCTTACGACCTCTCCCCAAATATTTCAGTCTTTCTCGAGTATGGGAAAAGAAAAAAAATATGAAAGTCTCGTGTAATGATTCGAAAGTCGGACGTTCCTATTTAAGACCGAACATCCAAATGAAAGGAAGGGAACTATTCGGCAAGCCAGGCCACACAAAGTTCATTTTTGGGAAACTAGCTTCGAGAATACTGCTCCGATCGGCAATATAGAAAGCGGCTTTTTTCTTGTAAAGATGAAGTAATCAAGGTGAAAGGCTTTAAACTCGCTTTTTGGATAAAGATTTGAAGAGAAACCGTTTATCTCTACCTATTGCTATATTCCAAAGAAGATTAGTCTTTCAACATCGATCATACATAATTTATCATTTCCTCGCGTTCATTTCCCTTTTTTTCATACTTCTCCCTTTCTGTTTTCTTTTCTTTTTTTGTTTTTTTCGTACTTGTGTGTTTATCGTTTATTTTCCTCGCTCCTACTTGATTTGTGTTTGCAAGCTTGACGAAATCCTCTAACGGTACTTCCAAGTTTCTATATCCATGTTCAATTTATTTTTCAGAACGTTTACGGAAGATTTGGCAAGAAACCCGATAAACAATTAATTAAGAAATATGAGCACTTTGCCCTTGGGAACTGCGACGCGTTGAAACTATCCCGGATGCTTAAAGTCATCGTTTCAAGGTATAGTACCACTTTGCATCTTATTCTTCCAGGGCTTTTTTAAATCTGAAGATAAGTGTAGGGATTAAAGAGCGATACAGGAAGAGTGAGATAATTATGAAAAAGGATGTTTCATATTACCAGTCTATGTCTGTAAGCTGTTGTCAGATATAGGCAGTGAAAAGAATCATCAATCGTTGATCGGACACTATCTGAGTATATTGAGTCCGAAGGAAACAAATAACGTTTTGGTTAATAGGGTCGTTTCAGTTAAAAAAGTGCCAACACTTTTAAGTAATATAACAGGGCTTTTTTTTAATAGAGTGTCAAATTCGTGAATACATGTACAGAACAAACTAGTTTTTTAGTGATACAGAAAAATATAAAGGTAATAAAGATATCATACAAAGAAACAAAATTGTCTGAAAACGAGAGAATACGAATAGTTGATATTCTTTTGATGAAAACTGGCAAATGGATCTGGAACAATAGCTGAGATGTAATATCACAAGACAGCAGTACTCTAGATGTCTATGTACATCTCACTGAAACAGTGTGTCTTTAAAATCAGCGATATTTTTATATGAGACTTTCTCGCGATTTTGATCGGAATAATCAGTTACAAGCAATCATTTTCAATAAGGAGAAAATAGTTTGTATATTTTCAATTTCTTTCATTTTCATTCAATCATCTCTCTTTATAGGAAAGGAGTCGTGGGAGCAAAGTATCTTCCACTGAAAGTCGCTTTCGATAAAAAAAGTAAACGACTGCACCCTGAGCCCACAAAGAACGCAAAATGGATCACTGTATGCGGAGCTGAAGATCAACACTGTAAATGTCTCAAGAATTAGGATCAAATTTCTCTGAAAGAAGTCAATCTAAAAACACTTTAACTTCGATATAGTATTTAACAATGTTATAGCTTATTTCGTCTTCAAAAATACATTTTACTTGACGCGAAAAGCTGATGAAGTGTCAGCAGTTTATTAGCGATATCAAACACGCGTAAAAAACTAGATAACGGTTTTTTCTAAGTCCTTGTAAAACACCTTGTAAAACGCCACATTTTACACAATAAAGTATAGTTAAATTCTCTATGTTCTTTGTCATCGACCTTGACAATGCAACCTCTCTCCTTTCATAGGGAAGAAATATAACCCTATGAGTAATTAACTAATTATATATAAGGCGCTTGCTAGCTACTTTTCTGGTCGCAATGATCTCGTTGCGACATTGGCATTTATCGTCCTCAGCTCCACAGACTTCAATCCATTGAGCATTCTTTTCAGGCTCAGGGTGAAGTCTTTTGGTTTTGTGATTAAATTTGATTCTAAGAGGCAAATACTTTGCATTAACCACACCTTTCCTGTGACATGAAAAAAAAAATTAGTGAAAAAAAATGAATTGAGCTACATTTTATAGCAAGAAGTCTATCTCTAAGAAAGCATTTCTTTCATTGAAGCCCTGTTTGAAAACAATTAATCAAATGATGAATAATAAACAGCTGTGACTTGTACCTTGAAACGTTGACTTTGAGCATCCGGGAAATTCTTAAGTCGTTGCTATTTCCAAAGGCGTAATGCTCGTAGGACTCAATATCAACTTCACTCGGCTTTTTGCCAAAACCTCCATACACAATCTTCGAGAAAAAAAGGGAGCAATGCATCAATTGACGGGCAGGAGGGGAAAAATGTTTTGCTTGCTAAGAAAGTTATGAACAAATCAATTAGAAATCAGGGATCCGACCCTCCGACCTTCTGATCCTCCCCAGGGAGGGGAGGTTCGGAGGATTTTTGTCGTGTCACCATATCACAATAAAATTTACCAGAGTCCTCTGAGGTTCTGTAATATCCTTATGGTGTACCCTTTTGTACTCTGTTAGCGACGGCTGATAGCTCCTCCCTTCCCCTCTAAAATCCATGTGATCCTAAACCTCCCCCTTAGGTGATAAATAGTAGCTGGTCCACAAATAATTTATGAAATAAGATGCAGGATGGCTATAGGTGGGAATAGAATAATAAAAATATACATGAATTAAAACACAAGAAGAAAAAAGAAAGAAAGGGAGGAAAAGAATTAGTAAACAGGTTGAACGGATAAATACGTAACTGGATTGCTTCCCCGTTTATAAGGACACGGATGAAATAGGAAATTCCCCAAGCTGTCCTCAATAAGCTTGTTATGCTTGACACAATGTCCCTGTACCACGTGCGGATGGGCTCCAATGATTATATCCACGCCGAGAGACAGCAAGTGTTTGTTGATATCAATCTGGTAGGGGAGTGGTCTTAAGCTCGTTTCCATTCCATAATGCATGAATACAACTATGATGTCAACTTTAGCCTTTGAAAAAAATAGAGTAGCAATGTTGAAATTGTAGGTTTTTATAATCCATCAAATAGTTTTGCTCGCACGTGACTGATCTAAACGCATCACATGATCGAATATACCCCGGATAAAACTGGGAAATATCTGAGGATATACCCTAAGTAACATTCCCCAATTATGAAACCTTACGTCTACTATGATGAAAGCATTCGTTTCAAGTTAAAATCAAAATGAATGAGCGTTTAACTCTTTTCCCAGAAAAGCGACATATTTGAATGTTCGAAAAGTCGTACTGTACTACACTGAAAAGTTCCCACACGTTGCAGAAACATTTGAAACATAATAAACAGAATAGCTTATATTTGGAGCGAAAACGTGTTCTTAAATATTTTTTTTGGACATTCTCTGTTCATCGAGACTTACTCGGAATAGATAGCAGGCGCGGACAAATACCCGAGTGCATTTTCGAGCTAAAAGGAAGCTATTGTTTATATAATTTTAGCTTCCCGCTTACCAGAAAGGTCCTCGCGAATATCTACTTGAGATTTATTTTTCGAGGCTAATGCACCGCCAAAATTAACCCGCACACAAACTTACTTGATTCATTATGGAAAAAATGGAAATCAAATCATTTTGACTTCGTCGATTAATAAATCACCATTTATGGTAGAGTTCTAAGTTCTAGATAACCACAAATTGGACTGGTGAGAACGTCTTAAAAGCTGGAATTATTTATGTTAAGTTTATCTTTAGCACTGCGGTTGAAACCTTTAACTTGTTAACGTCCCTTGTGGCAACGTCATCTCGATAAATGGCAGGACCAGAAGTAAACAACATTCTCATTTGAGAGCAATTCTTAAGAGGCGATGGCATGTCGCAGTAACCGAGAAATCCAAAAGTGATTCCTTTCCTTTTCATAATGAGTGGTTCCTAAAGAAATGGAAAATTGAAACCAATCAACAAGTTACGTGAAAAGTTGCCAATACGAGTTTCTAGGGGTAGATAGTGGATACGATCATCTTAAATTGTATGATTCGAGTTTTCAGACTGACAAGAAGAATATGGTGTAACAGACAGAAATTTAAAGCCAGTTATTTCCTATGTACCTGAGAGGAAAGATAGTCGCCAAAACTTATCCCAAAGTATGGTATTCCTGTCTCTTTAAGTACTTCCGCAGTAAAATTGGCTCCTTCGGCTCCAAAATCGTTTAAATGATTATTGGCGAGAGTTACAGCATTAAATCCTGCAAAACTACAGGACGAACAAACTGTCAAGACTACGTGCACTTAAGAACAGTTGTAAACTGACTTAACTACAACTTTAGCCAAAACGGTATGATTTTTTTTCATGTGAGAACTTTTATTAGGGGTAGGTGTTATTGAGAAAAATTTTAAAAAAATAAACAAGCTGTCACAGTCGTGAAATTCGTCCCTCGGAACCGATTATAGCAGAATACTGGTGGAGTTATACGACACGGACGACGTTACTATCGAGTCTTTTATAACTTCCCAAATAGCTGGTAAAAAGAAAATAACCACAAAAATGTTTCATTTTTCCAGTGAGTAATTTTGTGTCATTTTGAGTTATTTTTTTGCGTTATTATGAACCGAGAGGAAGTCGAGGTCTATAAAACACAACAAAAGAACGATGGGCAAATCTTTCCCGCTCAGATAGCCAATTAGAACGCAGGATTTCCTTCATATTTCTCATGGGCACTGCCAGCGATATCGTAATAAAGCTATAATAACCACAACTGTCGGTCATTACAAAGGCTGATAAAGTAAGGAGCCAATAAAAACGGTATTAATAGCAAGAAGCGCGGTAAAACGTTAATAAACAACTCGCGACTGATATAGCAAGTAGAGAAGGTTTCCCACACCAACAATTTATACAATAAAATGAATGAAGCCAATTCAATTTTAGATTACTTTCAACACTTCTAATTAGCTTGTGTCACGATAAAATTTATCTGATCCACCATGAGGTTCTATAATATTCTTATGTTTCTCCCCCCCACCCCCTCCCTCTCCGTCAATTCTCCATATAGTAGCCCCCTTTCCTTATGCTTTGTTGGCGTCGTCTGATTTGTTCCCCGTTTCCCCTGAAAACAATGACAAGAGAGAGTAATTTGATCCTCTCTTGATGTAAATACTGGTCTCTTACTTAACAATTTTTCTATAAGCGTCGTCCGGCGAGGGATTTATGATAAATGCATCTTGTATACCTCAGCGATGATGCAGCATCCTTGTTAGCACTGAGTAGAACTGTCTTTTCACCTTTGAACATGTGGGTATAAACATCTCCGTTGACGAATGGAGATTCCAAATTACACACAGATATATCAGCATCTCTGATATATGGAGCCACTTCATTGAAAGAGTCATTGTATGTGTAATGCTTACGCTCCACGTAATATTTGACCGGGCCAGCGAAATAAATATCTCCCACGAAAATCAAGGATACATGATCTGCAAGTAAGAAAGGACGAAAAAATGCTTAGCCTTCTTAAGGCCGCTTATCGATACGAATAAGACAAGAGTGAAACCCTAAAAGGCTTCAAGGGAAATTTGAATTTGTACGCGTTAAGAACAAGGCTTTGTACTATGTCTAGGGTATAGTTACAGAAATTATTTGACTGATATCCAGTGAAGATCGATTTTGGTCGAGATGAGCGCTTGGTCTGTTTTAGAAAGGGTGCGATTCATCAGAGTTATCGATTCTATGTCAATCCATGGTTTGGTGACTCATGGGCGAGTAAACAGTTTTCTGAAAGACTTCCATTGTGCGTTAAATAAATTTAGTGATAACTGAATTATTTGGAATTACCATTAATGTTTAGTTCGAATTCTTAATTGTTGGTCAGGAGCACGTTTTTAGAGTTTGGTTACTAAAATTATGTTATGTGTCTTACCTTTATTCCCGATAACTACACTTGGTAAGGAGATCGCCAAAAAGATGACTACAATATTCATGACACGATTATTTTAAAATCAGGCCGGAAATATAAAATGTTGTTCGCTATAACGGTAGCTATCCATCTCTCTACCGCTTCATTTCTCTATGTAGTTTGTTGTATTGTTCATTGAGGTCAGAAAATATTCTCTCCGGCTGAGGCCAGGAGTGAAGTGAAGTTTTACATTATTGATTTTGCTGCTTGCTTCTCCAAGAGGTCTGTAGCTTCATGAATATTTAAGAACAATTCCCGTCTCTTGAAGACAAGCACCTGATTTTCCTCCACGGTCGGTAGGGTTTGATTGTTTAATTGCTGTGGTAAATTAGTTATTAGTATCTTTATTTGTATTTTGTAAGAATTTTTTTACGCCTATTTCGTGCGTCTCACACCCATTAATTTACGCTTGATCTTTTGATTTTTTCACGTGCCGTTCATGCACCATTAATTTCGCGCCTTATGTAAATTTCGCCACCCTTTCTATCTCATGTTTCACCCACCTTTTAGCAGTGTGTTTAATTTTTGCTTCTATGTAAGCCTTTTCTCTGCAGGTGTTTCGTGTTTTCCCTCAGCATTTGGTAAGTTTTGTCTCGTCGCATCTTAGTATTTAATTTTTCCTCCTTATTTGTTAAATAGGGAATAGTACCGAAGCGCACATACATATATATGGTATATCTCTTTGAGTGTTCAACCCACTCTGATTCAAAATGACTTTTAAAATGGAAATGGCCTCCAGCTGACGTGGGCTTACAGTGATAGTGAAAGTGTCACCCTTTGTCTGACTATTGTGCTACATCACAGTGACCAATTGCGTGTGGTCCGCTATTTCTTTCATACTTTTTAATTTGGATTCGTTAATGTCCACGTTTTGTATTTAGTTCATCATGACTTTCTGTGGCTCTTAAATTTTACTTGTTCGACTACACGATACATTTAAGCTATTTTAGCTATTTAGGTAACAGGCAAGTCCATGCCATTTGACCACTCTGTGTTCTTTTATAAGAGATATACCTCCTCTTAGAGAAGCAAAAAATAATTACAACGCAAATGAAAATCTCCAAAAGCCTCCTTGAGATAAAGTTTCAAGGACAATCATGATTTTCCAGAAAATTGTTACGATAATTGAGAGAAATAACTTCAGTGTCACCACTGATATTAGGAGTCATTGCGGTGCCATAGAGAGCTGTGTTCAACGAAAACAAAGAAATATGTATTTGCTCGAATGTAAAAACAACAAAGTGGTGAGAATGTCGGGGAGGGCAAAGATTGAAATAGGTAAAATAGAATTAAAGAAATAGCCGATTTTCTAGTTTCATCGTGATGTCAGTGTATCTAAGGATAGAATTGCTGACGTAATTATGTACTGGGACTAACTAATGTGAAAATAATGAATAGTTTAAATGAATATTTTCGCCATTATGAAGTTTGATTGCGCGTTGAGTCTTGAGTCTTATATTTTTGCGATGAAAAGCCTCTTGCGTATCAATGATGATACTGATGATACAAGTGTTAAGAAATCGAGGAATCGAGGATGACTGATGGCAATATCCCGGTACACATTGCGTAAATATCCGCCTTTTAAGCCTCTTTAACCAGCATCCAATAGGAAACGTTGAATTTTGTAAGAAAACAAACAGACATGCATGAATAGACGTATTAAAATTTTCCTGTTGCTTCTCAAATAATTCTTTGACCTTTTAAATCACCTTGAAATCAAAATGGAAAGCTCTTTCAAAATCCTCGCTCTGGAATTTTACGAATATGTTGAGAAAAGTATAGGAGGACCCAGTTGTCAAACCTATTTCTTCCCTCCAATGAGGATTAGAAGGAAGCTAATGTCGACAGCTGCCGTTTTTACAACCACACCCAATTTCATCTCGAACTGATCAGCCTTGTTTACGCGAGTCCCACCCTAATGTTCCCTGCAAACTATTCAAACGCGTGAATAACTTTTCTTTCTTGTTATACAAAGCATAATGTTTTTTCATACAAAGCATGACGAGTGAAAGGGCGCTCATAGGGAATGGATAAGACGAGAGGAAAAACTGAACAAAAGTGGTTGGTTCGTTATCAGTTAAGAGCAAAATTTTTCTAACGTTTTATTAAGCCATGGGAGGACTAATAAGTCTTATCCGAGACATAAAAACCGTCTACAAGGATCTCAAGGTAACTTTAAAGCTCACCGCTAGAATTGTGCTGAAAGTTCATAGTATTGTGGAAGATGTGGAGCAGACAGTGCAAGAACTAAAAGCAACCGTGAAAAAATTGACATCTAGGGTCCAGCCTCAAGATGGAATGAGTGAGATACCGATTGAAGCGTTGGTGGAAAACGTCGAATCGAAGGCAATTTCTCTAAAAACCTCCCTTATTAATGCCACCAGTCAAGTGTTTAATGATGATCTCCTTAGAAAGACTCAAGAGAAATGGGATATGGTTATGCAGTATTCAAGGGAAAGTAGCGAAGCTTTGGCAAACATTGTTGCGAGTTCTTCATTGAATGTTAAAGGAAAGAGACACAGCGCTGCCGAAAAGGTAAACAGTTCAGAACAATCCATCTTCCTCTCGGAGCTCGCAAAGAATGACTCACAAAGCGAGCAGGAGGGTACTTCTGACGCTGATCGAGCAGTAGTCCCCGTTTTCTGTGAAGAATTACACTACAGTCTTGACGAGGAAGAGATTCGGGATTTCGAGATTTTACCACTCGATGTGATGGACAGCTTTTGGAAATGTGACATTGGATGCATCAACATTGACTGTGTTGATTTTCACCAGTTAGCAACTAGCCAACAGGCTTCCACCTCGCTATCACGGAAAAAGAACTCTAAAAACCGAAGCAAGAACCGAGCAAAATATGTCAAAGGGTCTGCCTCTGGTTTTGGTTCATCAGGTAAGATATCATCAAGAGAAAACAACCAGACACCTGCAAGGTATAACCCGCGCAAAGGTTCCAAGCAACGGAGGGAAACGGTCGCATTAGAGCTAATTTTTTTAGCCGCTATTTTAGTGGAAGGCTTAGCGATGTCAGATAGCAATGTTCCGGTTGGTGAAAATATGTGGGGCAACCGTATTCGAAGTAACTGGAGTCACTCGGGCGAAATTATCGAACTGGATGACTAGCTGAAAGTTTAACATGCGATAACAGGTACTTGTAAAGAAAACGGCAGGTGTCAGTCACCTGTACGGACAGGTAGTCAAAAACCGAAAATTCCATCAAACGTTAATCACCAAGAAGAAAATATTCCAGTTTTCAACTGAGAATTGGAAAGTAATCATAAATCGTAATTTTATCCCGTCATTGCTCTCTTTTCTTGACGTAAGATAGGAACCAAACAATCAGAAACAGTTCACAGCTAAGTCTATTTGCGACTTTCTCCCGCGATTAAGATTTGCATAATTTATTTCCGTTTTGTTGTAAATAGCTCCTTTGACTGGTCCGTTGACTGATCGAAAGTTGTGCCTGACAACTTTCGCCGATGTTTCACCTAACTCCTCTGGTAAACTCGCTTTATTTCACGAGGCAAACTCGGAAAGATGGCTGAAACTTCCAATGGGGTGAAAACTACACATTCCAAAAGCAAAGCGCTCCAAAAGAAATCTTGTTCGTTGCTCGTAGGGTTGCTCATAATGATATCTTACTTTTTTAAAATAGATTTTCTTCTTAAGTTAGATTTTTAGGTTTTTCATGGGAATTGTGAGAGTAGCGAGGGGGAAATTCTTTCTAACCAGATCCATTGTTTTTAATAAGCCAGACATAAAGCATTCTTAACTAAGTATGAAAATTCCACGGTACTCATTTATATTGACTCGATTTGTATGGGTTATGATTTATCACGCTGAGACAATGAGTAATAAACAACGTTGATCATAGACTGGAAATAATTTGCCTGGTTTATTTCATAAATGAAGGTATTCACAATCACACATGAAGTAATTCTTCTCTTTAGCCGCCATTAGAACTGAGCACTACTGTCCGATCTTAGACACTACTTAGTGTGCGATTTTTAAAAACAATAGCATGCCGGACACTGGTGTCTAAACTCGGACACTAGCGTCTGAAATCGGACAAGAGTGTCTAAAATCGGATAATTCTTCCTACAATCGGACACTAATCTCTAAAATCGGACATTGGTCTCTAAAATCGGACATTAGTGTCTAAAATCGGACAGTAGTGTCTAAAATTGGACAGTAGTGTCGTCTATCGGACATTAATGTCCAAAATCAGACACTGGTGTCTAAAATCAGACGAAATTGTCTCAAACTGGACAGTTCTGTCTAAAATCATACACCTGACTTAAAGGAAGATGCATGCCAATTAATCCAAGCTCTACGACGGAATACGAGACCTACGCTTCCTTGATTCAGGTTCGATGTCATTGACTAATTGATATGTGTACAGGCAAGTTTTCTCACAGTTTGCGTGACAGCTTGACTTTGACCCAGACCCTTCTGTTCCCTGTGTATGGTAACATTTTAGACCAATACCTTTCTCTCGCATCGCCCCTGCTGCACAGAGACAAGGACGGTTTATGAACTTCACATGTGTTGAATGGGTTTTCCACTCCCTCAGTTTTCTCTCGCACCAACACCCAAATATTACCTGCTACACGAAGACAATGAAAACTCCTAAACTGACAAATATTGGGTGAAATGCTAAGATTGGAAACAGGGCGAGATTTCTTATTATTCAGGATTAGCGATAAAAATTAACCTTTTTAAATTTTGCGAGTTCTCGAGATTTACGAATTATGGATTCCTATGTTTTCACTAGGGGATGTGATGAGATAATAAAAAAACATTTCCATCATTGTCTTTTCAGTTGTTAAGTCCCTGAATGAAACACGCAGAAACAATTTTGGAATGAGGAGTATGAAAGTCATTTTATTGATCATCAATTTTTTTATTTTCTTGCCATGTGCCATACTGGCAAACGAAGGTAAGTTTCTTTTCATTTTCCTCGAGTAATTTAGATTCCAGCTATACAAAATTTTGTTTGCTTGGATAATATGGCGTAAATATTTTTTGCTCGAAATAGCAATTTTTTCGGAGCCAATGAGGAAGCTTTACTAAAAAACAACAGCCAAGTCCTTGTTTAAAGAAATCAATCAGATTGCAAGGAAATTAGAAAAAAATTTTGCAATTTTCTACAAACCAGCTCACTACCGGGTCAACAAAACATTCGTACAGACTAAAAACTCCTTTATCTGAGCGACTGAATTTTGCGATTTCAAAGATTTTAAGTAGTTATTGAACTTCGTGTCTTGCAATTTTAGTCTGAAATCATGTTTATGTTTTCAAATATAATTCGTGCTGTGCACTCCTTTGACTTAAAACTCACACATATGATTTCAGACCAAACATGAAGACAAATAAGTTCAATTACCATCATTAATTCATGGTTGCCTTTTTTTCATCAACCTGATTTTTCGGAAATAGTTAGATCTGATATATAATCACATTTTGTTCTGAAAGAATTCATGCAACACGGACATAAAAACTATTTTTTATGAACTTCGAAGTGCCATTTTCCAATTCTTGGACTTCATCGTTGTGAATATCGAATTTTTTTGGAAAAAAAAGAACTAACTATGATTTCTGTATAGACCAGGATATAATTGACTATGTTTACCCTTAGAGCACGTCACGTTGCTGTTTGTGGGTGATGTTTCGTTCGCTGGTCCTGTGAAATACTACGTTGAACACAACTATCACACGTATGAGGACTCTTTCAGTGAAGTGGCAGAATACATCAAGGATGCTGATATATCCGTGGCCAATTTGGAATGTCCTTTCGTCGACAAAAAGGTTTATCGTCACATGTTCAAAGATAAGAGAAGGCTGACGATTCTTTATTCCAGTCCCGAAGCTGCTCCAGCATTGAGGTAAACAGAGAGCTCAGAACAATTTTCAGTTGAGCATAAGAAATAGTCTGGGATTGTATTGGTTTAGCTCAGTTTTTTTCACTCTTTGACTAGTCTAGAAAATTTGCGCCATTCTCTCAACCGGTCAGATATAAAAGTCAAACCAGTTGCCATTTAAAATTTTTCACCCACGTTTTCCTGTGCCTTATGCAATTTCCTCATTCCTAAGTGGAGTAGTTAATGGTAAAGCACACCCTGATGTATTTTACTTTTCTTCTGGTTGAAGTCTGCGTTTTAAGAGCGTCTGTGTTCAAAATTAACTTATTATCAAAAGGCAACATCTAAAATCGCAGAGTTCCAGCGAAAAAGTATTCAGAAAAGGAAACCTGCGAGACACACATGCGACCTCATAATCTTCATTCACGTAGCGATTTACCACTTCCCGTAAATTCTAGACACAAACGTTTTCATGGCAGTCTTCAATTCATACTATGTTGAGAGTGATATTTACATCAATAACTTTCGACGTTCCACAGCTATGCAGGCTTTGATGCTGTCACAGTTGCCAACAATCATTTCAACGACTTCGGCACTGAAGGTGCTAATTTCACCGTTGAAATTCTTAAGAAGGAAGGAATAAGATTTTTCGGCGTTACTTATGGGAGATTTGATTCATCTCAGGTAGTTCCATATCAATAATGATTCTCCCTTTAATGAAGTATTTACTACCATGTTACAAGCTTAAGCGAGTCGACTTCACATACACAACAACAAAATGGGCCCACAAAAATATTTGTCTAATTACTTAACCTTTTAACTCCTTAAATCTGATTGCTAATTCTCCTCTCTAGCTACTGCACATTTTCTCGTAAATAGGTCAAGAGAATTGGTGTCGGATCAATATAACAACTTAAATATGATAATTTCGATTATTCTCATTACCTGTTGGCTGAATAATGTATGGATTTTATGGGGAGAAGCTACATGATAATCACTTCTGGGAGATAAGGGGTGAAAGGGAAATTAAAATTCTCAAAAGCACCTGTTATATTTCCTCCAAAAACCTGTGGCTAAAACTTTGTTAACTATAAGGACATCCAGAGAGGTGTTTCGAGAAAAAAATTCAAGATTACAATGTAGTTATATTAGTAACCGTTATGGGTAAAATATCAACTTGTTATGATCGCTTATTTTCTTCAAAGGAATTGAGATAAACTTGTTTAGAATTAGGAGACCTGGAAAAAGAAAACAATTACAATTCAGATATTTTATTCGGTGGATTATTTCTAGGAACCTTTGATAATGGAAAGAAAAGGAATAAAAATAGGATTTCTTGGATACTGTGACCATGTACCAGATTTCCCAAACTGTACTGTGATGAGAAGGATGTACAAATCTGGTCCTGCTATCTATCGGGATGATATTGCCACAAGAGATGTTAGAAAAATAAAAGAGGTAAGAACTCATGGTTTTAAGTTTTGACAAGAGATTATAAACTTATGATAATTTCTTGGTTTTGATCATTGCAAAATCCCACTTACCATCTGATGTTGCGTGAGCTCAAGTCTCAACCCACACTCGAAAGCTTTCAACTATTCCTATATGATGTTATCAATATTAATATTATATTAAATTGAATTCTCATAAGTGTAAAAAGAAACTAAAGATGACCATGGGAAACTATTAAATATAATGACTCTTCGTTGGGTTTTTCTGCTTCAAGACCTTATTTAGTTAGGTTTTTAATCATTTTATGAATTTTAGAGAGAAGGAAAAGGTTAAGTTTGGAAAGTCGGTGTTCTCAGTAGATATATCTATTAATCAATCAGAAAAAAGATTTCGTGGCCGAGTTATTGATTTTCATAAACATTGCAATCTGAATTGCGATCGAGCTGACTCAAAGTTGAAATTTTACCTTCAATCAGAGTACAAAGAACGCTTACAAACTTCTCTTCATCGTCATCTTAATTCTTAAGTCAGTCCCGAGATAAGAAACCAAAATATTATACAAGAAATAAGTACACATACAACCAGCGTGAACTGGGTTCTTTCTTAATTGTTACAGGCTGGCGTGGATATCATCGTGGTATACATGCACTGGGGAAGAGAGGTGCTTTTGAAACCGCTCGATTACCAACTTCATATAACAAAGCACCTTTGGTCTCTTGGAGTCCACATGATCATTGGATCACATCCGCACGTGCTGCAACCTCACTGGCTGACCAAGGACAACAAACTTGTGGAATACAGTCTAGGAAATTTCTTGTTTCCTCCTTTGCGTCCAATAGGTGGAAACAACCCGGTAACGAGCCTTTTTCTTTTGATTTAGAGAACACCTTTGATGTCAATTCATTACATTGAGAACATTAACCGTAAGGAAATAATCATTTTAAGATAATTGAGGAAAAAAATTAGATGGCTGAGTTACAATGGTGGTGGGCTGGTGGTCTCATTTATTGTAAGTACTGGCGATTCATAGGAGACAAAGGCTTTTTGATGAAAAGCATATGGATTTGTTTGATTGACAATGTTTGTTTGTTTGATCTTAACTAAGTCCAATTTTGTACGCAGTTAGTTTACGGTGGAAGGGGTTTTAAACCAAATCCTCGCTTGATTGAATCATATGAGTATATCACTTATGAAGTAAGAGATATGCTGAAAATGAGCCGGATGTTGAGAGTGACTGTCTCAAGGTAAAGACATTGTTTTCAATGGTACTAGAAAACATAAATCCCTAAAATAGAACTCTTCCATATGACTGGAACACAAATGCCATATAACTGATGGGTCATCCGTAATAATATAAGAACTAACTGGTTTGGCGATTGGGCTGACATATTTCGTGAGTTACTTTACCATTCAGACAAAGAAAAATTCTGATGTTGTTGCCAGGATTTTAAAAATACCTGTTCGATCGAAGATAATCCATTTTTTTAAAATTATTTTTGGTTGATCAGATATTTACCTCCAAATCCCAATTACACCACAATCCCTTCCAAAGCTAACACGTTGTATTTCCCTTCCAATCTTAACATATAGTTTTGTTTCATTTTTCTAGCGTAGACAGTGTGTTGTTTTCGATCCGATTAACCCGCGAGCAGGTTTTCATTATTCATGCTTCGGCATGAGCTCTTCTTCGCCCGCAGGAAAGTATGAAGCCTCTAGCAAGGCGAGCCAGCGGCAAGGCTGCATTGGGGCTAGCACTAACTATTAGAGCTAATCCTCAAGCAAACCTTCCCCTGACTCGTCTTCAATCTTCCCGCGGGCGGAGAAACGCGCGTCCTGCAGCGCTAATAATGACCTATTAGCTAAACTGCTGTTCATTTGAACATGGTATTGACAGTGTACATTGAACGTTTTCGTTCTTTGTATATCGTTATGTAGACATGTTATGCAGGTCATGCGTTATGCGAGTGACGTTAGTCAATCTGTCAACATTTGAAATTTAATTTCATTGCGAGAAATTCACTTAATATGTAAATAAATGTGCATAGAACACTCTAATAAGAAATTGACTGTTGAGTTTTTCAATCCAACGTGATTTTGGAAGGAGTAGGGCTTATGTTCATTTATAATGCTAACTGCATGTGTGGATGTAAAAAAAACCATTTTAATACACCACATTTCAGTTTCCTCCAAAACGCATGGATTATTTACATCACTAAGATAAACTGTTGCCATTTTTCAGACATGGTATAGTAAAAGCCGAATATCACCCCATGAGACTTGTATTTAATCAGAAAGAAAAGCGACTTCATCCTGAACCTGAGAAGCACACAAAATGGTCTACTGTTTGTGGAGATGACGACAAGGAATGCCAGAACTTAAAAAGACTGGAAACTGGAACTGGAACTGCATAACTCTTAATTAGAAGAAAATAATGATATAAATAGCGTTTTTACGACTCTGAAAGTAAGAAGAGTGTTATGTAGACCTCTGCGTCAAGCCGAATAAATTTTACAGCTCCCTTGGTCACCAACTTGTACCTGTGGAAAAACGTTAATTTTTTAAAGTTTTTATCAACCATGCATAATATCTATGGCTCCTAAAAATCTAGATTCTCCCGTAGAGATCGCTTCATGCCTTCGGCGCTCGATTCCAGTGTTTGAGAGAGCGTTCTGCACGTGAATGTTCCCGCCGTCTCACTTCGGTCCCTATTCAAAAGAAAGGAGAAAAGTGGAAGCTCGTCATCTTTCTTCGTTCTATCAATTTCCCCTTTGGCTGTTATGTATCTCTTTAAAAGCAGTGTTGCATTTATATATAAACATATGACACACGAAAGTGAGGTTGATTGGTATTCAATAAAGATGTGCACATCTCTGTTGTGTTTGAACCAACTTGAATATATCTTTGCGCCGTCCGTTTTCTTCCTTTCTTGTTTTAAAGACTGCCTATTCTTCGTTTGCTCCTTCCACCCCAAACTACAGGAGGTATGTAAAAGCCTGTTGAATTTTTACAGTGTGGCAAAAAATAATCTTCGCAGTCGAAAGAGAAATGGGCAGTTATCAAAATATACACATGGAAAAAGATTTGATACACAAACGCGTATTTGACTCGTAGCCGGATAAAGTGACGAGTTAATTCTTGAGAGCCAAACAGTAACTTACAAAAGTATACACATTGACGTTTAGACAAAAAAAAGAAAAAAAAACCGGTCTTTAAAAAACCTAAACCCTGAGTCGTCCTTGTCATACATGTAACATCCTGAAATCGCTATGAAAAGGTTTTGCTACGGAAATATTTCAAAATGTAACAGGAAATGGTGAACTAAGCTCTTTTAATTGCTGTTCGAACCGCAATGTTCTCGGGGACATTTATTATCTCCATTTTCAAAAAGGAAACACATCAGAAAAATAGTATGTAATTATTGACTGACTGGTGGGGCCGAGAGAACATATTTGGGTCAAGATCATGACGCAGGTGCCGAGCGCTGCAAAGTCTTTATGTAATAGCTAGCAATAGCCAGATACTTTTGCTGCCCCTTTACACAGTAAATAAGTATTTTATCATATGATTCAGTCTCGTGACCCTAACGCACTCTCTCCCCCATCCAATTGGCCAGATTGTACCGTTAGCCGTAAAAATCATAACCCGTTAAGATCTATTTGTCGTGGGGAAAAGGCGAGACCAAACGACGGCTTGGAAAGTAACTAGAAGCCTCACAGGTCACCTGATAAAACCATTGTCACCCTTAACAAGTGGGTGACAAATGATGATGAAACAGTTACCGGTACACCTGTTTGTCAATGTCAAAGGGTCTATATGGGTTATTGTTTTTCTGTTAATTTCTTTGCTTTGATATTGAAAGAAAAATATTTATGAGACCCTCAGAACATAGAACACAGCTTTATGCTTTCACGCCGATGACTGGTAATTATATATAATTGATCAAAGTTCTTGATGAAGAACTGTTTGATTTACGCGGATAAGAGAAATAACCTAATTTGCTCCTGTTTTGTGCTGACCGGAACGTCATGGATGTTCTTGTCTACCTTTTGATTTCGTTTTGGTACGGAGTTTCTGCAAAAACAACCGGTAAGACTATAACAATAATAATAATAATGTGAAAAGATAGAGGGGCCGCAGCCAGGATAAAACATCTTGTGAAATTTAAAAAACGATCTCTGGCTAAAACTTTTAAAAATACGAGCTTTCGGCTGTTTGCGCTACAGCCTTCAACGGGTAAAATGATAAAAAGGCGGCCGTAAAACAGCCGAAAGCTCGTATTTTTAAAAGTTTTAGCCAGAGATCGTTTTTTAAATTTCACAAAAGAATAATAATAATAATAACTTTCATTTACGTTTCAACGTGATTTAACATTGCTGCTAACTGGGGACACTTAGGTTTCTTTCTTGAGCAAATTTCTTTGCGGCCATCTTCTTTTCTCTGATCTAATTGCCGCCTTCCACTCCTTTGTTATGTAGGGTACATCTCTGGCTCTTACTTTCTTTTCTACTCTGGGATTTGTTTTTTGACAATATAGGAGCATGTCTCTGCAAAATAGTGTTGTTTATCATCTGAAGAATCAAAGATATCGATTCAATGCCTGGGGCCACTTGTTATATCAAGCTGAAACTCTGTTTCGTTCATTGCTGCGTAATTCCTGACGGACTTCACTTTAAAATTATGATGTTTGAAATACTTATATGAAGTACTTGATGGAGGTCTGTCTGTATGTTATTTTTAAAAGCACTCGTTGGTAAGTCAGTAGCAGAAATTAAACGAGTGAGCGCAACGAACAAGCGAGATTTCTGAAACAAACCAACGATACATGTCATTTGAGTGGCATGGCTCACTGCTACTTAGACCAGTTTGTAAATGAAAAATTATCTTGCGCCTTTTCAGTGGGTAAATCTTAGCCTGTGTATAACAAATGAATGTGAGTGACGATGTGCTTTGACAATTAACTCCCCGCTTATAAGGAATCGTTGTCTCAATTTTCTGTCACAGAAAACGTTACCTTGCTGTTTGTTGGAGATGTCTCCTTCGCCGGTCCCATCAGATATTACGTGGAACATAAATATCACTCATATAATGACACTCTTAGTGAAGTTGCACCATATGTCAGAGAGGCAGACATTTCTGTGGCCAATTTGGAGTCTCCATTTATAAACAAAGACATGTACAATTCAATGTACGATGGAGAGAAAACAGTTATACTAGACGCTAGCCCCGAGGCCGCCCCAGCTCTGAGGTAAACATCCTTTGATCCTCATATTCTAAAATATGCATACTTTCCCTTTAAAAATTAATCCTCAGTAAAAAATTTCAAAAGATTGCGGTGCTAAATCACAATTCATGCGTTCATATTTTTCATTCCATTAGCACTGCTTGTTCTTGCAATACACTATGCTCGTTGCATATTGTTCACAGTTATTTGACAATAATATTTTTCTGATCCTCCCATAAGGATCTGTACCATTTTAATGGTTCCCCTCTTCGGTAGTCAATTTCCTATAGTCCCCCTGTAAAACAGAAACGAATAATCCCCAGCGTTCCCCCTGAAAACCATGTGGTCCCCCCCCACTTTGTGCCTTCTAATGGTCTCCCTCTTCGGTAGTCAATTTCCTATGGTCCCCCTGTAACACAGAAATGAATACCCCCCCCCTGCGTTCCCCCTGAGAACCACGTGGTTCCCCTTTCTGTACCTATTCTAATGATCTCCCTTTTCTGTAGTCAATTTACCATAGTCCCCCTTTAACACAGAAACAAATAATACCCCTGCGTTCCCCCTATCTCAGTTGCATCCAATACCAGAATAGAAAACAGCTGAGGTTCGTGTCCGCCTGGCAGCATGACAAGCAGGCATAAAATTTAAATTTGTGTTCATTTAAACATCACCCGTCTGATTCTATACTTCTCATCAGTTTTGCAGGATTTGATGCTGTAACACTTGCCAACAATCATTTGAACGATTTTGGCTCTGAGGGAGCAAACAACAGTGTCAAAGTTCTCAAAAAGACAGGAATACAATATTTTGGTATAAGCTTTGGAAAGTATAACTCGCCACAGGTATTATCATTCGCTGTAGTACTCAAAGAGTACCCTTTCCCCCTCCCTACCCATTTCCTCACTCTCATTAACATACGAACTATTTCGACTCTTCTCATTAGAATTTTCGGGATGATGAAGCTTTATAAATGAGTGTAGTGTGTCGTTAATCCTTTCATTTCCAAGTTCTATATGGGAATTTTTCCTGATAAATTCCGCGAAGGGTTTGGTACATGAGTTTGACTTCATATGGTGTGTTATTTTTTTATTCTCGTCCTCTGTTTGCAGTACAATTTTGAAATTGAATATCTTCACCTCAAAAAAAAACCTATCTCTTCCTTGTTGTTTTCAGGAACCGCTCATCCTTGAAAGGAAAGGAATAAAGATTGGATTCCTTGGTTACTGCGACACTCCAAGTCCAACAATTAAAAAGAACTGCACTGAAATGAGAATGTTGTTCAACTCTGGTCCAGCCATTTATGGAGATGATATTGCTACACGAGATGTCCAACATTTGAAGAAGGTTTTTTTTTAGTTGTTTAGGTTTGATAATAATTTAAGGAACGGAATTGTGATACGAGTTTGACAAACTAAACGATAATCAGACATGTACAGCTTAGCACGTTTCTTTCTTCTAATTGAGACTGTGAGACTTCTTTACTTTTGTTTAATTTCATTTATCTTCCATTTCAAAGCAATTTTACCACCGATTGGTGTTGATTATTTCCATGACAAGATTCAACGGAAAGATAGACATACCACATACTCGTCATTTTGTATTCGTATGTATATTTGGCGAGGAACGCACAAACTCCCTTACAAAATGAATGGCGTGCTCGTGCAGGGGAAAGGGAGGGGGGGGGGGGGTAGGGGTTGGGGGTAGACACACAAAAGCATTTTAAGATATCTGCAAAGGGCCTTCCTTGAAACAGGCGCTAGATTATAAATAGAGGTACTTTGGAGTGATTGTTGCATAAACAAAACCGAAATAATCACAAAGGCTCACCAAGCGAAACAAAAAATTAATACCGCAACGACACAATGAGAACGCGAAGGAAAAAGAGGCAAACTTTGTAAAGCGCCGGTCGAGATGAATGTCAAATTCACAATTGGTTTTACTTTTTTATTTGATTGATTGGCGGGTTGTCTTCAATTTCTTCCGCTAGTCATAGAGCGATGATAAGCAAGTCAAAAGCAATCCCTGATTTCTTTGCATGGTCCAATGAAAATTGTTTTAAACACTACCATCAGTACGAGTCTCGCTCACCACAGAGTCTCTGTGGCTTAGTGGTAGAGCATCTGAGCGTGGAATCCGAAGGTCTAAGGTTCCATTAATTATGGGAAATCAGAATTTTTTCTTTGTCCCCCGCTCGTGACAAGACGAAAAACTATCCCTATTTCGTTATCGAGCTTAAAACTTACCATCTCTCATTCTATCAGTATCTTTATTCCCAAAGGCTAAAGTCGGCATAATAGTCGTCATGATGCATTATGGGCAAGAACTCTTCCTGACGCCGCTTCCCTACCAGAGTCGTATAAACAAGCACCTGCTGTCTCTCGGTGTGCATGTGATCATTGGAAGCCATCCACACGTGCTCCAGCCCTACTACGTCAAACATCGAAAACTTGTAGCATATAGTTTGGGAAATTTCCTGTTCCATCCGAGTAGAACACCAAGTGGAAATAGCCCGGTAAAATAACACAACTAAACTAACACTGCATACAGATTCTTTAAGCTTCCGTCCTCGGCTGAGACCAACCATAAATAACTGAGAAAAAAACTGGTTTAAGAATCTAATGCATCTCAGATGGAGCAGAAATAGGTTTATGCTTTACTGCGCCACTTGGAAAGAGCAAAAGGAAAGTGTTGTTCCATAAATCGATGAAAACTCATACCACCATCATTACCACTATCGTTACTGTTACCTTTACCTTTACCGTTGCCTTAAGCGTTACCGTTACCGTTATCGTTACCGTTATGGTACCGTTATTGCCTCCAATGTCGTGATAAACAAATCGACAGTGGACTCACGAGGCGCTACCAGTACCGTTACAGTTACCTTTACTGTTATCCTTCCCGTTACCTTTACCGTTACTTTTACTATTACCGTTTCCGTTACCATTACCTTAACCGTTATTTTTACCATCACTGTTACCGTTACCTTTACCGTTATCTTTACCGTTATCGTTACCGGTACGATACCGTTTCCGTTACCATGACCTTAACCGTTATTTTCATCATCACTGTTACCGTTACCTTCATCGTTACCTTTACCGTTATCTTTACTGGTGCAGTACCGTTTCCGTTACCGTTACCTTAACTTTTACCATTATCGTTACCGTTACTGTCATTACCTCAAATGTCATGATTAAAATGCAAAGCCGGTTGCTTTTCTTTACTTTTCTAGAAGACGTATGGAAGACTTGGAGAGAAACCTAATCAATACAAAATAGAGGCTTTCGAACACCTCGTGCTGGAAAATTCGGGTGGTATAAGAGCGTCGCAAATGCTGAAAGTTACGGTTTCAAGGTACTTATGAACACCAAAACTCTTAAAGTTGATGTAAAATCATAATTGTTGCATAAACTTTTTTATCGTGAGCGCCTATCATCGTCACTGTCTTTGTAACTGTCTGTATCATTTTCAATATAATTCCTTGCTTTTATTATCATAGCCATTGACACTAGATTAGTAAAAATGTAGGAGATATCACCTTTAGTAAGATAATGAGGTGGCCTGATATTGCAAAGTGAATTACTCCTCATATTGGCAATTCGTACTTCACGTATAGAGGTACAAAGTCATTTCCTGAAGGTCCAATAAGTCGTTATTTTTAGTGATGTTTTTGTTTCAGGGAAGGCGTCGTGGATGCAAAATATTTGCCACTGAAAATCGCATTTGATCTTAAAAGAAAGCGGATTCATCCCACGATTTTAAAGGATGCAAAATGGATCACAGTTTGCAGAAATATGGATAAGAGACAGATAAAAAGAAATGGGAGACTCTCCGCAGATGACTTGATCATGAAGACTTCTGAACTCCGAGAGACAAATAGCCTTTGATACAAACCAAATGGAAAATACGCACAAAGAGAAACAGAAACTTCAATAAAACCATGCAATGGTAACAAAACATAAAGAGATGAAAAGTTTAATTCGCAGGAACTATAGCACATTTACAGCACGTGTGTATTAACACTTTGTACATTAATTTTGGCAACCTTTCTCTGCAAACTATGATAGTGAAATCAACAAATTTTGGACCGTGTGAGAAATGGAGTCCTGAAATAAAGTTATTCATGTTTCTACTTCGAATCCATCGTCTAAAGAGATCTGTCACCGTTAGAGATGGTATCACAATTAAGCTAATCAATAAATTTTTTAAGCATCGGACGTTTTTTCCGGAAATCTTTAATCCTATAGCTAATATGAAACACTCAAGTGATTGTCCCGAATTCTGTGTTTACAATACACAATCTAAAGGATTCCTGCAAAAGAATTTGATGATCTGCAATTTTATGAACCAACTAAATCATCAGCGAGTCTAGCCTTATGAGTAAATTAAGTGTAAATGCAAATTAAAAATAATTTTCAAAATCTCTTCTAAATTTTCTCGTCGTGATATGGTAAAATTTTTATTATTCATATGGGTGGATCATGCATGCTACAGATAGCTGTGGTTGATGTATCCATCGAAAGCCGATGTGTCCACCGATAGTTTATCTATACAGTTTTATATAATAAGCTCAGTTATGCACGCGTTCTGATTGGTTCTCACTTATGATCTAATGGAGGACAGACGTACAGATGAAGTCATCATTAAAACTTTTTTTCCGTTTATTTTAATTCTTTATTATATAAAACAAATAGATTCCAAGTTGCCGTGCGTCTGTTCAGTAATAGATCACAGAGGACGTCAAAATGTGGTAAGAACATCAGTGGCACACGAGGTTGCGCTGCGCCTCGTGTGCCACTTTTTTGGATTGATTAGACTACAATTCAAAATTTTAATAGGATTGAGTGGAGTCGAATCGGTCTTTAATCATACGAGTGATCAAGAAAATCGGAAGACCGCGAAGCGGGAGTCCGATTTGTTAATCACAGATCGAATCCTTAATTACAGACAGAATTGGACGACACAAAGTCCTGTTACCAATTAATCATAACCATTACAATTTCCGAAAAAAATACATCTAGAACAAATATCTCCAGTAGAGACAATGTCTAAAGTTAAACTGAAATTCCTTCATTTTGGAAATTCGCCAGTTTTTCATAGGATAAGTGGTTGTTGCAATTGTTATTGTGATCAATTCTGTGATCTAGCTGAATAGATTAAGTACGACTGGCTGTTACAACTTTCCGATTACAGCCAACTGTCCGATTACAACTTTACAAAATAATTAGTGAAAAATGAAGCAGTAAGTGCCCCAATCACATTTGAGGAAATTGCAATGGTTATGATTAAACCTTCAATGTACGACACGAATTAATTGAGTAAATTAGAAAATGCGAGAAACTCAGGAATGAAAAATTAAATTAATAAGAGCAAATGCTTCTTATTGATGCATTTTTGTATTTAATGTGGACCTCTCCATCTGCGGTTGCATTTCAAATTGAAAAATTTCCTTGATCGTGATTGGCTAGCGTTAGCTAAGTATAGTTGAGTTTGATTAGCTGATTGCTAAAAGGCTTAATTTTGATTGGCTGCCTACTTTTCCAGCTTGATCTGTCCGACTAAAAGTGTTCGCAATCCAACGGTCGAGATCGGACAGTTTGAACACGGAACACCCAATTAAACTACAAATAAAGACTGATAAGGACCGGTCATACTGGAGCATTCTGTTAAAGACACAATGAAAGCGATGATTTCAACATACCAGAGCATGGTCTCTTGCTTCGTCATGAACGTAATAGCCATTTGTTTCTTGATATCTGGGTCATATGCAGTTAACGCAACTAAAGGTGAGACTACTAAATGAACCAATCACTCGATATATTTTTCCAAGGGACAGTTTTCCATTCTTTGACATTACAAGCGTCGTTAAGGTGTACGTTCCTCTTAACAGAAGAAACATAATCACTTTAAATATTTACATGTTTCTTTGTGTCAGAGGCAAAAAAAATTCCACAAATATTGATTTACGATTTTGCTCGCTTAAAAAATGTCAGAAAACGTTCCCTCATGCAGTTCGTCTTATAGAATAGCGAGCGTTTCAGCCATTCTCCCGCGCAAATGATTCAGTTTGATTCAAGAACATTCAGGCTCGAAACGGCGACCTACGGATTTCATCCTTATTATATACCAGAGTTAACAACCGCCTTCAAAGGCTCAGTAAATAAAACATTTATTAGTTTATCAAATTTTCATTATGTCGCGTCGCCCTAAAAGTTTTAGCAGCCCACAGCTGGGTAGAACGCGGGTGACCAGAGAGTTGTGAGAATTTTCTAGATCAGTCACAGATCGAAGTAAGGCAAAAACAAGCAATTTCAAATTACTTTTGATGATCAATTGAAAGTTACTTTCATTAATTATCACTGGAATTTTACGAAAGTTCCATAACATTTGCGTTCCCTTCACTTTTAGGTAGCGTCACTTTAATGTTTGTGGGAGACATTTCCTTCTCTGACCCGGTGAGGATATTACGTAGAACGTGGTTATCACTCGTATAATGACTCTTTCAACGACGTGGCACCATATTTGAGAGAGGCTGATATCTCTGCGGGTAATCTGGAGTCTCCTTTTGTTAATCAAGAGATGCTCAGTGGACGAACCTCTTAAAATGTATGTTAGCCCTCAGGCTGCATCAGCACTGAGGTAAAGTAATCATTGCAGGACCCAATTAAAAGCACTCCGGCCCGAGCGTTTTTTGATTTGGAAGCAAACCAGATACATTTGAAATCGAGTCTTATGAATATTTCGTTCTCGGAAATTGTAACAATTTAAGGCTTTCCCGGATCCTCAGTATTAACATCTCAAGGTATGATTTTTTCATAAGTATACGCCAAAGTAACCAAAAGAATATCATGGGTCATGGGGATAAATTCTCTTGGTTCATATTCTCTTGTTTTAACCCATCCACTAATTTCTACCTCTACGTTAATTTAATGGGTCATCCCCATTTTATGGAACTCAGAATAAAAATCGCCCATCAACACAGCTGCGATATGTTTTATGCCAAAAAAACCATAAATAAACAAATGAATAAATAAATAAAAAGCCCTAAAAAGAAAGTTAATATCCGTTATAAATGACTGTTGACTGTGTCGTTGCTGAATATTGGCACCTTTCTCACCGTTGTCCTCTCCCCCTCCCACCGGGGCTTCTAAGTCCACTTTGCTTATTGTGGAGAATGTAAATGCGCAAACAAATACATCAAATAAAGCATGGATATTTGCCAAAATTCCAGTTGGTAGGGGTATAAACAAGCTGGTTGTTTTGTTTAAAATGTGCACCTCAGGGTGAGGAGTTGACGTTGTGCCAACCTCTGAGAAACTTAATTAACTCGAAGGCTCAAGAATATATTTCTGGCACTCCTGCCTCTACAAACATCTTCAAATCTATTTGATTTAAAAAAAGCAAACGTTTCTCTTTTTTGAAGTAGAAGAACGCGATAAGCTATACAAGGAAATTCAAAACTTAATTTCCCGTAAAATTCTGCCACCTCCTCCTCCTTCTTCTTCTTCTTCTTCTTCTTCTTCTTCAGCATATTCTCCTTCCTCACGAGGTGCGGCTAAAAAATCTTAATTCAATAGTTGTGGCAGGTTCTACTTGATTTCACGGAACTTGATTAGCCCTCAATTCTGAGGAAAAGCAGCTGACCAGGTTCTTTAGCCCTTGACGATAATTTCCACTAAAAACGAGACAAATGCAAGGGTTCACAGCAGTGTTTGAAAGAGCCAAAAGGTAGCTAGAGAGGAGGAAGCGATGCCACCCGCAAGAAGGTACGATCTGTACGTATTTTACGACAATTCTGAAGATACTCAAGGGCAACAGACATATTGCAAACGCCAGCACGATAGCAACGGACATCTTTAGTACTTTTCTTTCTCTCTTTCTGTGTTGATCACCACCGTTGATGGATCTTTCGCCGGGCACGTTCTGTCGTCTGAGTTTGAAATAGATAACTATGTATACTATAGCTATCAAAACCAAAGGAATACAGCGGAAAAGGATCAGAACTACCGTTTCGTAAGTAAAGGACACGAAAACTTCGTTTAAGACCTCACTAAAAAGAGTCGCACAAATGAGTTTGCCATGACGATTCATAACCAGGTGGCTCCCAAGAAAATAAGGGGAGTAGATACCGAGTGAGATGATCCAAGTAGTAACAATGAAGAAAGAGCACAACTTTGAAGTCATGAGTGGAGGTCGAAGAGGAAATACCACAGCTCCAAATCGATCCACTGCTATAAGAACCAAGCTCTGAACTGACACAGAGGCAGAAACGTAAATCAAGAACTCGACTAGCTTGCATGAAACCTCGCCGAATAGTCCAACCACGAGCCAGGTTTCGGCGTACACCCCTACCAGGTTTGGCGGAACTACGAAAATCGCATAAAGCAGATCAGACATGGCCATGTTTACGATTAAAAAGTTAATGGGTTTCCTCATGGCTCGAGACTTGAACACGATAATGGCTATGGAACTATTTCCCGCCAACGAGAAAACGAAAATCCCGCAGTAAACCAGTGTTAGCGAGACTTTTTTCGCTATAGGATTGAAGCAGATTACGTGCTGGTGTGTTCCATTCATCGATGTGTTTAAGTTTCTAGACATCTTGTGATTCAATATTATAGAGTTCTATAGCAGCCTATGCAAGCTTCTCTCTCTCTGGCGGTTGTGCAGAAAAGATTTGGGTTTGTAACGTTAGGGTGGAATATTCGTGATCTATGATTGTGCTGCGCACGAAAATTGATAATGTACAACTCGATGGAATTGTAAATGAGGGCAGGTGTCCAAACAGCGGACACAACTGAATTTCTTAATTTCAACTTATTTCTTAGTGGAATTTCTTAATTTCAACTGAATTTCTTCCTAAAGCTAAAATTTGTTTGAAAGTAAATAATGAAAAAATGACATCGTTAAATTTTCAAAAGTTTTACAGCACCTCCGTGAAAAAAGGTATTTTTTCAATTAATACAACTGGTGTATTTTTTAAAATACAACTGTTCAAGAAAAAATAATTTTCTTTTGATCATGTATTACGCTAGGTCTCAAAACATCAGACAAACATCCGGTCTTATCGCCATATGTCGCCATGCAATATATAAACCTGTCTAATATACATATAAATAGCGATTGTGCTAACCGCATTTTAAGGAAAAACTCTTTATCACCATCGATCAACGAACAAATGGTGAAAAAAAAGTAATTTAAAATTATTCCAAAATTTGTAAACTCGCCGCCGTGATTCAATATTATAGAGTTCTATAGCAGCCTATGCAAGCTTCTCTCTCTCTGGCGGTTGTGCAGAAAAGATTTGGGTTTGTAACGTTAGGGTGGAATATTCGTGATCTATGATTGTGCTGCGCACGAAAATTAATAATGTACAACTCGATGGAATTGTAAATGAGGGCAGGTGTCCAAACAGCGGACACAATTGAATTTCTTACCTTACAAGCTCCTAAAGCTAAAATTTGTTTGAAAGTAAATAATGAAAAAATGACATCGTTAAATTTTCAAAAGTTTTACACCACCTCCGCTAGGTCTCAAAACATCAGACAAACATCCGGTCTTATCGCCATATGCCGCTATGCAATATATAAACCTGTCTAATATACATATAAATGGCGATTGTGCTAACCGCATTTTAAGGAAAAACTCTTTATCACCATCGATCAACGAACAAATGGTGAAAAAAAAGTAATTAAAAATTATTCCAAAATTTGTAAACTCGCCGCCAGGCCAAGGTCTTCCAGAAATACGCGTTCTCGGCCCAGTCTCATATTTGCCAACAATCGTTGACTTGGCAACGGTTAGCAAACTCAGGGACCACAACCGAAGGAACAATTTCGATCAAGATGGCGTCGAGAATCATGCATGGTCGGCGAGAGGGTCAAACAAGAGGTAATTTCTCGAAGCTAGCTCGTATTCTTGTACTGAATTTGTGACTTAACATGTGTTATATCTTTCAACTATATAGAATTTGGTGGAGCGAAAGTCAGCGTCATTCCTGAAAAAAAAACCTATCTCTTCCTTGTTGTTTTCAGGAACCGCTCATCCTTGAAAGGAAAGGAATAAAGATTGGATTCCTTGGTTACTGCGACACTCCAAGTCCAACAATTAAAAAGAACTGCACTGAAATGAGAATGTTGTTCAACTCTGGTCCAGCTATTTATGGAGATGATATTGCTACACGAGATGTCCAACATTTGAAGAAGGTTTTTTTTTAGTTGTTTAGGTTTGATAATAATTTAAGGAACGGAATTGTGATACGAGTTTGACAAACTAAACGATAATCAGACATGTACAGCTTAGCACGTTTCTTTCTTCTAATTGAGACTGTGAGACTTCTTTAATTTTGTTTATTTTCATTTATCTTCTATTTCAAAGCAATTTTACAACCGATTGGTGTTGATTATTTCCATGACAAGATTCAACGGAAAGATAGACATACCACATACTCGTTATTTTGTATTAGTATGTATATTTGGCGAGGAACGCACAAACTCCCTTACAAAATGAATGACGTGCTCATGCAGGGGAAAGGGGGGGGGGGGGTAGGGGTTGGGGGTAGATACACAAAAGCATTTAAAATATCTGCAAAGGGCCTTCCTTGAAACAGGCGCTAGATTATAAATAGAGGTACTTTGGAGTGATTGTTGCATAAACAAAACCGAAATAATCCCAAAGGCTCACCAAGCGAAACAAAAAATTAATACCGCAACGACACAATGAAAACGCGAAGGAAAAAGAGGCAAACTTTGTAAAGCGCCGGTCGAGATGAATGTCAAACTCACAATTGGTTTTACTTTTTTATTTGATTGATTGGCGGGTTGTCTTCAATTTCTTCCGCTAGTCATAGAGCGATGATAAGCAAGTCAAAAGCAATCCCTGATTTCTTTGCATGGTCCAATGAAAATTGTTTTAAACACTACCATCAGTACGAGTCTCGCACACCACAGAGTCTCTGTGGCTTAGTGGTAGAGCATCTGAGCGTGGAATCCGAAGGTCTAAGGTTCCATTAATTATGGGAAATCAGAATTTTTTCTTTGTCCCACGCTCGTGACAAGACGAAAAACTATCCCTATTTCGTTATCGAGCTTAAAACTTACCATCTCTCATTCTATCAGTATCTTTATTCCCAAAGGCTATATTCGGCTTAATAGTCGTCATGATGCATTATGGGCAAGAACTCTTCTTGACGCCGCTTCCCTACCAGCGTCGTATAAACAAGCACCTGATGTCTCTCGGTGTGCATGTGATCATTGGAAGCCATCCACACGTGCTCCAGCCCTACTACGTCAAACATCGAAAACTTGTAGCATATAGTTTGGGAAATTTCCTGTTCCATCCGAGTAGAACACCAAGTGGAAATAGCCCAGTAAAATAACACAACTAAACTAACACTGCATATAGATTCTTTAAGCTTCCGTCCTCGGCTGAGACCAACC